ATAGATTGCATTATTTTAAAATGAAGTCGGTTCTCATCTAAGGACATGCCGTTATGCAACCTGCTGTTCACCTAGGGTGAACAGTTATACTTCCCAAGTGAGTAGTTCAGAGGCACATTGCTCCTGTTGTGGCGATATAGTTGCTCATGCAGCTGCCATAGCGCCGTGCTCAGCACAGAATTGCCCTACCAAGGCTGAACAACTGTTTTTTTCCCCATCCTCTAGTGTTACAGAGGCATCAGCCCACTAAGGATGCAGTCTAGACGAGAGAGAGAGAGAGAGATAACTGGGACCTTCAGCATACAAAGCATTTGTTCTGCCACTATGCTTTTCCTAAAAGCTTGCAATGTCTGTGCTGTGACTCTGTATTTTATTTATTTATTTAATTTGTGTGTGAGCTGCGGTGGCTCAAGGGGTTAAGACGCTGAACTGCAGGCTGTGGAAGGTCGGTAGTTCAGCAGTTCGAGACCCGAATGTGCTGCGTGACGGAGTGAGCTCCCGTCTCTAGTTCCAGCTCCTGCCAACCTAGCAGTTCGAAAGCAAGAAACTGCAAGTAGATAAATAGGTACCACTTCAGTGGGAAGGTAACAGCGTTCCGTGCACCTTGGTGTTTAGTCATGCCGGCCACATGACCACGGAAATGTCTTCGGACAGCGCTGGCTCTTCGGCTTTGAAATGGAGATGAGCACCGCAACCCTGGAGTCGGATTCGACTGGCTTTCGAGCAAGGGAACCTTTACCTTTACCCTGCCGTCCCCGCAATAGCAGGCTCAGCACTGAGCAACAAAGGTTGCATGTGGCCGGCTCTAGCTCTCTTTCCACTTTTTAGCTTGTTGCCAATTGCCTCTTCCTCCTCTCTTTCTCCCCATTCCTGAATTATGGCAGTAGAATAAAGCATACAAAGTATCCTGAATTATGGCAGTAGAATAAAGCATACAAAGTAGATACTGGATGCTGCTGGTTTAAATTTTCTCTCAGCCACAAAGGTCGTCTTAGGCAAGCTACTTTCACACACACACACCCCGCATCTGCAACAGTGGGGGTAATAATGCACAGCTTGGAAGCTAAGCAGGGTCAGCCATGGTAAATACTTGGATGGGAAACCACCAAAGAAGGCCTAGTTGCTATGTAGAAGGTGGCACTAGCCAACCACCTCTGCTCCTCTCCTGCCCCACAACAAGTTGCCAGAAGAAGAAGAAGAGGAGGAGGAAGAGGAGGAGGAGGAAGAGATTGGATTTATACACTGCCCTTCATTCACCAGAGGGGTCTCAGAGTGGCTTACAAACTCCTTTCCCTTCCCCTCCCCACAACATACACCTGTGAAGTAGGTGGGGCTGAGAGAGCTCTTGACAGAAACTGCTCTTGAGAGAACAGCTCTGAGAGAACTATGGCTTGCCCAAGGTCATCCAGCCAGGTGCAAGTGGAGGAGTGGGGAGTCAAATCCGGTTCTCCCAGATTAGAGTCCGCGCACTTAGCCACTACACCAAACAGAAGATGGCTGGGACCTGACAGCACATTATTACTGTACTAATGGTGGCCTTGCATACAGGATTGTTGTAACGACTGCAAGATAATGAAGTTTTCCACGTGGGCTGTTTGGCCTGGTTTGGATGCCACAGGGAAGCAGGGTTCCCCACTTCCCCTCCCACGCTTCTCCCAGTTTTCCCTCCGCTTTGCCCCATTCCTTCTGCAACCCGCTTTCACATCATCTTTTCTGGAAGGATCACAGCCAAGCCAACGCCCCCTTTTCCCCGATCCAGTCCCGGTGGCCATTCCCCTCCTTCCATGCCACCAGGGTTTTTTTTTGTTCGTGATTGTTTAAAACTAATAACTGGCATATCAACGTATCAACATGGTGGTGGAAACTGCCGTCAAGCCACAGCCAACATACGGATGACCTTGTAGGGTTTTGAAGGCAAGGGGTGTTCAGAGGTGGTTTGCCATTGCCTGCCACTGCGTTATGACCCTGGTATTCCTTGGAGGTCTCCCATCCAAGTATTGACCAGGGCCGACCCTGCTTAGCTTCTGAGATCTGATGAGACTGAGCTAGCCTGGGCCGTCCAGGTCAGGGCAATAGACCTATACAGCAATGTGTTCATTACTGATTATTTTTTAAATGGAAATCCTACCCAATGGTGTGGCAGGGAGGAATGGCCCCTGCAAGAGATTGTGGAAAGCCCCACTGCTACTGCACTGAATCTGCAGCCTCATCGGCAGCAGGGAAGAGCTATGTGGAACACCCCAACGTATGTGAGATAAATACTTCCTAAATATTACTGCATATTATTTCTTGAAATAAATTCATTTTATTTCAAGAAGGGAGTCACTACAGGCTAAGTATCAGGAGAAACTTCCTCACTGTAAGAGTGGTTGAGCAGTGGATCTGCCTCGGGAGGTGGTGGATGCTCCTTCGCTGGACGTTTTCAAGCGGAGGCTGGACGACCATCTTTTGGGTATGTTGTAGGTATGTAGGACTATCTTTCAGCTATTCTCCTGCAGAGTGCAGGGGGTTGGAACAGATGACCTGCAAGGTCCCTTCCAACTCTAACATTCTATGGTTCTATGATTCAATAAATTCACTGGTTATCACCAGCATCATATGATATTTTGTTTCGGGTTTGCCCGGGTAGCATTTCAAGGTGAAGAGAGATGTAACATTTCAGTGCTCTCTCTCTCTCTCCCTGATGCCAACTGCTGAACAAGGTTGCCGGTAAAAAACCATCTCTTTCTGCATGAAGCAGCCCCCTACTGGCTAGTGCCCGTATCAACACCGCGAGGCATTCACAACTCCTTTCTCTGTGCCTTTCTGAATAATTTGACTTTCCAAACAAAATTTCACTCACCGTTTTTTCAGAGGTAGCTTGCGCGCTCCCTCATACACTGAACATTCAATAGTTAAAAAAACAACACCACCACCATGACCTGGATAGCCCAGGCAAGCCTGATCTCGCCAGACCTCGGAAGCTAAGCAAGGCCGACCCTGGCAAGTACTTGGATCATAGACAGAACACAGAGGCAGGCGATGACAAGTCACCTCTCTGAATGCTCCTTGCCTCCAAGCTCCACTAGGGGTCACCAGAAGTCAGCCATAACTTCCAGGCAGGCACACACAGACATACAAATACCAAATAATAACAATAACCATTTCATTGTGTGGCATGGCCACCCTGCCCCCTTGTAGAACACAGGTTTGAACACTGCAGCAGCTGGCTAATGCTGGCATACCAGTGGGAGGCCGCCGCGCCATCGGAGCAAGAGAAGGTTTTTAAAAAGCCAACCAGGGTTGTCATACCTGTTTTAGCATTCTTTACATGTGCCATAGTCTGTCGTGTATTCACTCCCATGTCCTGGAAACTGCAGCGGATTCTACCCCCTCGGTCCATCACTTTATAACCAGAATCGCCGACAGAAAAGCCATCTCAAAAAGAAAACAACAAAGAGAAAAGTTTTAAATCTTTGTGGCACCCAAGGAAAACCAGAGAGAAGAAGAAGAAGAAGAGATTGGATTTATACCCCGCCCTTCACTTGGAGTCTCAGAGCGGCTTACAAACTCCTTTCCCTTCCCCTCCCCACAACAGACACCCTGTGAGGTGGGTGGGGCTGAGAGAACTCTGACACAAACTGCTCTTTCAGGAACAGCTGTGCCAGAGCTTGTGACTGACCCAAGGTCACACCAGCAGGTGCAAGTGGAGGAGTGGGGAATCAAACCCGGTTCTCCCAGATTAGAGTCCGCACACTTAACCACTGCACCAAACTGGCAAAGCAAACAGAAGAACCCCAGTGGCAAGACGCCAGGCAGGATTCGCTACCTAAATACATGGAAACTGCCTTAATATGAGTTCACGGGAATGGTTCCTCTGCCTACACTGGGAGCAGCTCTCCAAGGTCTCGCCCCGAGGAAGGCCTTCCCCAACGCCTGCTGCTCTTCCGTTGGGAGATGTCAGGGACAGAAACTGGGACCTTCTGCTCACAACACAGCTGCTCTACCACTGAGCTGCAGCCTCTCCTAAAAGCACAGCAAAGAGTCTTCCCAGTGGTGGCCCTTCCCTTTTGCAACACAGGGGCCACCACGGAGATAAATCCTGGGATCCCAGATCACTGCAGACTGTGACAGCAGCCATAAAACTAAAAGACGCCTGCTCCTTGGGAGGAAAGCGATGGCAAACCTGGACAGCATAATAAGAAGTAGAGACATCACCCTGCCAACAAAAGTCTGTATGGTGAAAACAATAGTCATGTATGGCAGCGAGAGTTGGACCATAAGGAAGGCCAAGCACCGGAGAATAGATTCTTTTGAACTATGGTGCTGGCATAAGGAAGGCCAAGCTGGTAAGAATAGATTCTTTTGAACTATGGTGCTGGAGAAGGCTCTTGAGAGTCCCTTGGACTGCAAGGAGAACAAATCAGTCAATCCTAAAAGAAATCAACCCTGACTGTTCCCTGGAAGGCCAGATAATGAAACTGAAGCTCAAATACTTTGGCCACCAAATGAGAAGGAAGCACTCACTGGAGAAGACCCTGATGCTGGGAAAGATTGAAGGTCAAAGAAGGCGGGGACGGCAAAGGATGAGATGGTTGGACAGTGTCATCGATGCAACAAACATGAAATTAAGCAAACTCCGGAGCACGACGGAAGATGGGAGGGCCTGGCGTGATGTGGTCCATGCGGTCGCAAACAGTCGGACTCGACTGTGTGACTGAACAACAACAAAACATATTTTACTTTTGAAAACAATAGGACTTGGAATAACGCCTTCCAGGAGGGCCTGACGACACAAGACGATTCACATGGCAGAAGGTGCTCCCCCAGATCAGCTGGGCCCAGGCTGCGTAAGGCTTTGATCGCCCATGCCCTGATCATTCCATCGCACTCCAGAGACCAGAGTACTTTAACAGTAGTGTAATGTACTCCACCATTACCATGTGCGCAACCATTGGGCCATGCGGTCAAGCAAAGCCCTGAAGCTTCGCTCAGGGAGAACAATAGCCAAGCGGATCCTAGCCCGCACCTATCAGAGGGCCAGGTCCGCAGCCGAGAGCCTATGGGACTCTCGGCTACTGTAAATAGCCTATAGGAAGTAGAGGGTGTGTTTTGGTGGTGGGTTTTCTGGGCATATATACCGGCCTGCGAGCCGGCAGTTCTTTGTCTTGTTCTATCCTAATAAAAGTACTTTGCTGAAATCATTCAGCCTCTCAGTACTTTTCAAGTAGTTACTGCACCATTCAGTCACATCCTTACATTTAGGAGAGCTTTTCCCAACTCCTGTGTGGCTCTGAGCGGCATCTTCTCCAGCAATGGAACCGCCATTCCCTGAGAAACCCTGCAAGACAAAGAGTTCAAGACTGAAAAGATGACCAGCTCAAAAAGAAAAACTGGGCAGCATCTGTGCTTTTTAATATATATATATATATGCACCAAGATCACACCCATGGCAGAAAAGCAAATGTGACTGCCACTGCTTGCTGAAGTACAATATGCTACAATCCCAATAACAGAGACAGCAAAGCTGCCATGTGGGACACTCTGCGTTGTCTTCTTCTTTTTGCCTGCTATTGAGAAAGGGCCTGTGACTTTAAAATGACAGTGAGAGCAGCCTGCCCTCTCCCTCGTGGTGGCTGCAGCTGGTTCTCCCTGAAATTCTGGAACTGAAGCATGTGTGGCTAGCCACAGCATTCAGCTCCTCCTGTCTGTACATTCCCCCCACCTCACCATATGACTCGACACACTCGTCTACATTGACAACTAGAGACAGGGCATTTTGAGCATAAGAGAAGGCATGTTGGATCAGATTCAATAGCCCATCCAGTCCAACACCTTGTGTCACACAGTGGTCAAAACCTAGTGCCATCAAGAGGTCCACCAGCGGGGCCAGAACTCCAGAAGCCCTAACACTGTTGCTCCTGTTGGAAGAGAAGGACTAAACCCTGTCTCTTAGCCTCAGCCTCCAGAGGGGGGTTACAAAAGTCAGATAGACAGGCAAATTATGAGCATTCTTCCTGTTTACTCTTCTGTCCCATTGATGTGTCGACTGATATTCTCAGAGAACTGCTTCCTTCCCTTCTCCCCCTCACCCACACACACAAAGGAGGAGCAAGTTGGTCTCCATCTTTGGCATGATGGACGCAGATGTATTCATATGTTTATCAAATGCCCTCCACATGTTTCGAATGCTCTCCTGGCGCCTACTTTCCTTTTGTTTAGGCGGCAAGTTAAAACACGTCTTTTTACCCAGGCTTTAATTAAGGGTTTAATAAACTGCTCTGTTTTATGGACAGTTTTTATGCTGCTGATGTCTACTGGCTTTGTGTTTTTAGCGGCTTACGTTTTATTCTGTAATTTTATTATTGCAAGCTGCCTTTACAGAAGCAGCACAGAAATATTCCAGGTAAATAAATAATAAAACGCTGCTTTAAAAAACCCTCCTCAGTCTTCATGCAATCGGACGTATGATAGTTATCAGGAGTCTTTTTGCGTCGTGTCTCACAGATGCTGCCATGCATTCCTGTGAGTGGGTAAAGCAAACAACAGAAATAATCTTAGCATAACCACACATATAGTCACATCAAGACTGCCTTTACACTGTTGTTATCAATGCATTACACTGGTGAAGTAAAAAGGGAAGGGCACAATGCAGGAAAAATTAAAAACTGAGTCCAACGGTATGTGCCCACCTCTGTACAAAATCTGCAAACAAACACAATGATGGAAGCTTCCCAGTGGAGAAGTTCCATTTTAGGGGGGTGGGACAGTGACTGAGAACTCACTGACTGAGGGCAATTCTGCATTGGCTTTCCCCTCCGCTGTTTTAGCAAACCCACCTTGGAACAGAAATTCCCCTCTGCATTGCACGCTGCTTCCACTTTCTCTGATCATCGGATTTTATGGCACCCTCCACACTGCGTGCCACTTTCACTTTATTTGATCATCGGGTTTTATGGTACCTTCTACATAGATTTATGGCCATTCACTGATGACTTTGCAGTCAGTATGGCATTGGCCCTGGGGTATCTGAATGTGGTTTTGAGCTGCACCTTTTCCTCAGTGCTGAGAAAATGCGGAGCGAATGCCAGATGCAGAACCAGCCTGAGAGAGAAACCTGGATGAGACACTGGAAGCATTTCTATTCCTGTTTGGACCAGCTAACACAGACTGTAGTCTAAAAGCCAGAGTGCTCAGAGTGTTAGACTAAGGTACAGGTAACCCATTCCGCCACGAATGTCACCAGTTAACCTTAGACTAGCCACTGACTCTCCATCTAATCTAACTCACAGGGTTGCAAAATGGAGACAGAGAGGGACCACATACGCCATCCTGAGCTCCTTAAAGGAACGGAAGGATTCTACATAAAAATCCAGTTCAATTTCTGCAAATGGCATAGAACCAAGCGCACTGCTGCAGCCAAAAAAATATTTGATAACCAAAAAAAATTCAGTTCTTCTGGAGACAATCCAAACACATTGGGGTGGCGGAGGCAGACAAAAATTCAAAAGGGAATTAGATAAGCATATGGAGCAGAGGTCCATCAGTGGCTATTAGCCACAAGGTATAGATAGGGGCTCTGGGGCAAGTGATGCTCTGTCTTCTTGGTGCTTGGGGTGGTCAACAGTGGGAGGGCTTCTAATGTCCTGGCCCCACTGGTGGACCTCCTGATGGCACCTGGTATTTCTGGCCACTGTGTGACACAGAGTGTTGGACGGGATGGGCCTTTGGCCTGATCCAACATTGGCGTCTCTTATGTTCTTAAAATCCAAAATGTTAATTATATAATTTATTTTCATTTATATTCTGGCTTTCTCACTGGAATTTAAGGTGGATTACAAGTACGACAGACTATTCAGACAATCCAGTATCTGACGAAGGCAGCTGTGACTCTCAAGCACTTATACCCTGGAGATCTTGTTGGTCGTTAAGGCGCTTCTGGGGCCGAATCCTGCCAAATCAATCAGTAAGTTACTTACATCTCAGGAAATGTGCCCCTTTTCCGTGATGGGTAAAATATAATACAATCAACGCAAAACCTGCCCCCGAGGTGGGCTTCCACCCACTGTTTTAGGGGACCAGCACTGAGAACCTGAGTGAGAAGAATGAGGGGAAAAAATCACAAACACACCGGTTCAGAAGAGCCAGGCTGTCCAGGGATTCCTTCTCCTGCACAGAAGGCCTTCCCTCTCGCTTTCACACGAGCTCGTCCAGTCATTTCCCTGGTTTAACTCACTGGGGGGAAAAAACAAAATACAAAGAATGCAATGAAATCCAAGCTGCAGAGTGGGCTATAGAAATTAATGCTACTGGATTTACCCCAAAGGAAGGTGACCTTGAATACAAGGTGAACCCCCCCTGAAAAACTATACACAAAAAGAGATTTATTATTGAACATGATTGTAACTTATGCATACATGCAAATGTAAGATGACCCCTTTTTTGATGGCATGACTGTGAAGAGAGAAAAAAATGTAGAAAAACAGGTGCAAGGTGAAAAAAACTTTGCTTTAGTTCTTGTGGATCCCGATGCCTTTCACAATTCGCTTTGTCAGGGGATCATTTCCAGAGTTACTCACTTTTCACCTTGAGCAGTAAGATGGGATTCCACAAGAACTAAATAAATATTTTTTTCACCTGGCACCTGTTTTTCTACATTCTTCTGCCTACTGGTGTGGCCATTCCTGTTTTCTTCCATGACTGTGAAAAAGCACAGTCGTGCATTTGAGAAAATACTGCATCCCCAGTTGAAAGCCACTTAAGAGCTCAACTACACATGGTATCAACTGGGTTTTCTGGCATATCATCTGACCACAGCTGCATGGGGTGAGGTGGGGGGGGACGACACGAATCTGATCTGGACTGGGCCCACAGAGGTGGGGAAGCTGGGGTTAATTCTGCCCCCCCTCATTGTTTTCCCTTATCTCCCACCCCCACTGCAGTGGGGGAAATTGAAAGAAACAAGACAGGTACTTGATTATAAATTCAACATATTCGGGGGGGGGGTGTTAATTTGAGGAAGTACTCAAGAGGGCCAGTCTATATATTATATTTCTTTTTAGGTGTACACCTTAACAAATGCAAACACAGCAGAACATGTGCATGGCAATCAGCAGGGGCTGAGTTTATGTGACAAAGTATACATGGACACAAATGTAAGTACACACAAACACACTTGTAAGCTGCCCTATGTTGGCCCAACAATGTCAGTAATGTCTGTAGAAGAAAAGAGAGATTTTTTTTGGGGGGGGGGAATCAAGCTCTGAAAATGGGCAATGAGGAGTTTTTGTCACTCACAAGAACCTTTTTCAGCCCAGAAAGAGAGCCAGCTCAGCAAAGGGAAAGAAGCTACTGTACAACAAGAGATCCCTAAATCAACTTCTTATTTTTCCACACGATTCCTCACATGCTTGTAGTGTGCACACTAAGCTCGATTCCAAGGCATACCTGTTAGGCTTGTAGGCTGCCTAGCTTATGCTGGTACTTGGCCACCAAAGCCACACCCGCTCAGAAGTAGTTACACTCTCCCTTTCTCTACTTCCAGTGGTCTATACTACTGACTTGCAGAATGCACTATTATATTGGTCAGCTCTGCTGGATGCAGTTCATCCATCCTGCCAGCAGGGGGAGCCAGTCATTGAAGAAAACTGGTAGTAGCTCTCTGGTTTATTCTAGTGGGTTACGATGCAATCCCAAAAAGAATTACTCCAGGATAGCGAAGGCTGTCAGGTTTTAAAACTCCTTACATTTGAGCAACTCTGCTTAGGATTGTGGCTGAAAAACTAAACAGGAGCTTTAGGGAAGCGGTTTACAGACTAGCATTTATTCAAGCATAAACTACACTCTAGAGATGGAGAAAGAAACAGGGTGCAATTGAACATGAGAAGAGATGCAAAAGGGGTGCATTATTAGAATTGAAGTTATGAGCTCTTCCTCTACTCCTCCCAGAATTTCTACCCCTTTAATGGCAGCAGGTCAGGCAGAAATTCAACAACTGCAGCACCTCCCACATGGAAATGTGGTAAAAGGGGAACCCATTCGATGCTTCCAGAATGAGCTGAGCAGCTGCCGGTATGAGAAGCCGTGCACAAGCTGAGAGGCACACATCAGGACCCCCAAGGTTGCCAGCTTTTAAAATCTACCCTGTTCCTCTGCCTCTAGTAACACACAACACAATCAGAATGCAAAAGGTATTTTGTAAAAGAGATGGGGAAAGTTCTGCCAGCTAGATCTCTGCACATCGGGATGATGTTAAAAATTACAAAGAAAATGAAAAAGTTGGGAATCTTGTGGTATAGGGGTTAGAGTGTCAGACTAGTAGCTGGGAATCTTGTGGTATTC